CTGTAGTTGTTCAATAATGAAATTCATCCTCAAAAATATAACTTGCCTAATAATTGTGCACGCAGTGTACACACAGAGGAGGAATATAATAAGAATAGCTGAAGGACATCCACATTTTTGCTGTTTGGGGATATAGTAGGACTTTCTATCTGTTCCATTCCTACTTACCCCACACTGTACCCCCTTTAATCCTTTTTACTTCAGGAACTTCCAGTATTTAAAGAGAACACTGTGAAAACCAGAGTGGCCGTCCAATGTTAGATTTTCCCTTTCAACATTGAGTTCTTCATCCAATCTTAGAGAGAAAAACAATATATTCTCGGATCTTTGGGGAATGCTCCAGGGGCCACATGACTGGTACCTCAATAATTGCAAACTGAGAATGCTGAAAGAAAAGCATCCATGTTCTGTTTTAAAAAAAAAAGTGATTTTTTAATAATATTATTTTTTAAAATTTCCATCTATTCTAACTACATAATGTTTTCACATTAAGAGAAATTTAAACCCCACGATTTAAAGGAAGCTTGGGCCAGTGATCTTGGTAACCCATACAAGAAACAAATTGGCAGGAATTATGGAAATTGGGTGGATTCAGCTCAGCTTCAGTGCAAGAAGTGCAGTGGAAAATTATACATTGCTAGCCTTTGATTCCAGCTAGTCTGGCACATGAATATCAGGATTATTCTTCCAAATGTTGGAGTGGTTGTCAAAACAAGGGTCTTTCTTTCATTTGTGGTGGTCATGTAATAAAGCTATATCCTTTGGGGAAGATAAGTATCATTACTAAACAAAGTATTAAATGCTCCCCAGACTGCATTTATTTATAGGACTAGATCTCAAGCTTAAAAATAAGGGGCTTATTGTCTACTTAACTTTAGCAGGTAAAATAATAATTACTCAACACTGGATAATAAAACAGTTGAGAACTGGATTAATAAGGCCTCTTCAATTGCTATATCAGAAATAAAATTACAGAATTAAAATATGGAACATCAGAGGCAGGAGACACAATTCTATCAACTTTGGATGGATTTTATAGTTAATAGCAAAAGATTATAATATGGTAATATTTTAGATAGATGGTAAATTTGTATGTGTATAATACCTGTCTCTTTACTTACTTTTTAGTATATCTTTTTTCTCTATGCATTGTGGATGTATGTTATTTAGGTACTTGATATTGATTATTAATCATACTTCAATTTTTAAAAAATATATATCAAGAGAAATTTAGTAATTAGTCCAGTGAAAGATTCTTTGTGATTTTCAGATAAAAACTATAAAAATGGGGGAAAAATCCCTATTATCGTACCATGATATTGGGGTAGGAAAAATACTATTGTGGAGAAATTCAAAATGGAGCATAACTGAAAAAAGTCAAGGATTAGAAAAAAGGATTAAATTAGAAAACAGAAAGCCAAATTCAAAGGGAGAAATAAAATATAATACATATGTCTGAATGGAAGAAACAAATGACAAAATTAGAAACTACATAAACAAGAAGAAAATAAAATAATATCTCCTCTGCAATTGAGAATAGCCAATGTTTAAATCCAAAATATGAGACAGAAGAAAATGGACCTGAGAATGCCAAAAGAAAACAGCACCCTTGTTGTCTCTTCTCTGTTGGGCTTTTCCCTGAAAAATTAGAGTTTGCAGTTTGATTATTCATTGGCTATTATTTCTTCAATCCAAATCAAACACTTTGTAACTAATTGTGTCTGCAATCTCATTTCCAATTGAAACAACTGAAGAGCAGGGTAGCATTATCAAAAGAAGACTCCAGATTTGTAGCTATAGATTTCATACTTGAAGATCACTTAGAGTATGATTATGAGAAAAATACAGAGAAACTGAAAATAAACACTTTGTTCAAAATTGCTAATTGTTATTACTGCATATGCAATCTATGCATACTATTTTATACAGTAGATATATTCACTTTCTATTATGTATATAAGATCCATGGACACACATCTACACAATACAAACTATATTTCATAATTTTATCTGTAGTTTCCATTTTAATTAAAAGGTACTGGAACAAATAGCAATTATCAGTAAAAATACGAGTTCATGCTAGTTCGAGGTTGGTTTCTTCTTTGCCGCATTAGCTAGGTTCCTTAGCCACACAACATATCTCAAGAGGATTGAAGTAAAATTTAGATGGTTCACATTTTTGTGTGAACCACCATGTTTTGCATTTTCTAAACAAATCCATTAACTAAAATGTTATCAACCTTAATATTTTGCACTTTTCTGAATTTTTTTCTGTTCAAACTTTTAATAGAAAACGTATTTATAAACTTTATAATTGCCTCACTACAGCTTTTCCCCAGGATCTTCTTACACCATGGCTCCAAAATATATGGTTAATAATCCAGTTTGGAGTTGGGGTGATATGTGGATTCACATTCCAGTTTAACCATGGATTTATTGTATGGCCTTAAACAAGCTATTTTCACTTTCAATAACAATTTCTTATTGGTAATATGATGGAAATAATGCAACCTATTTCATGGGATCATGATAGATAGATGATAGATATGTTAAAATGTGGTATAACTGATAAATGAATGCATTATTAGTTGAGAAAATATTTCAAATGTATAAAGAATGTAGGCTGCAATCCTGCATCCCGTTATTAATGCATAATTTCCTTTGAAATCAGTTGGGCTCTAGATCCTGGTTGATTTATTCATTTCCAGAAACCGAATCTAAAAGAAGGAAAATTATGATCTAATACTGATATGCAGATAACATTTGGAGTAAGACTTACAATAAACCTCAGTGCATTTTAATATTGCAAATGAACTTACTAAGAGTAAGATTTTCTCCCCTCCACTTCTGTACTTGTAGGAGAAAAAGACTTTAATGATTACAGTGATTATTTCAGGAGTGACTAACTTTATTGACATGAATGAAATGCCACAAAATAGTGAGTATGCTGTGGAATACTCCAGCCCATCAGGCTGTAAAAAGTAGGAGATGAAAAACACAAATTATGCCAACAGAGACTGCAGCTATACAGTTTGTATTAAGTGCCAGCGTCAGTACAGACAGAGCAATATAAAAATAAATCTTCTTTTATTCAACGGTGTTTACTTCCAGGCAAGTGTGCATAGTTTCGGTAGCATGGGTATCAGGTGGCATCTAAAGATTTGGGGAGGCAAAAAAAATGGTTAACATCGCCCCCCCCCCCCCGATAAAACTGTTGTTAGAAAAATTAAGTGTCTTTATTTGTTGGCAGTTTGTCTTTTTAAAACAGTGTAGTTTGTCAAAGTTACAAGAAGTTATAACAAGAACTACAAAGTTAGAAGAAGAACTGTCTGCAACAAGGAGAGCTTTGAAAGAGGAAAGGAAGCATTCTGAGGTATATCACATTTAGTTGTACTCAGTATACAAGACATTAACAATGAAAATAAATATGACTACTTTTGGTTAGATTATCTTTATTTCCTTGCCAATCAAATCAGAGTCCATTCTTAAGGTGCTAAAATGGAAAGTATATATTTTTTAAATGTGTGATCCCCTTCCCCCCTTATTTTTGTTGGGGGTGGGGGTGAGGAAACCCTGGAAATCAGTCCCTCTATATCAGAGCTATGCAGCTTTTTGTGTTCAGGGTGGGATGTGGCTTTTAAGTGGCCTGCTGGGCAAACTGAGTGAGGCACTGAATTAAAATGGCAATTACAACTACATTATATGATTTACTTCCTAGGCATTTAATTATTCACACCTAAAATTTGCAGGAGTTTTGAGGGCTGTATTCAAGCTTTGAGCTCTATAATTGCATCCTGCCCCCACTCTGTGAAATACAAGTGTTCTTGAAAGGGGGTAACTTTTATTTCATGATCACGCTCCACAAAAGCAGAAAGAAAGAAAGAAAGAAAGAAAGAAAGAAAGAAAGAAAGAAAGAAAGAAAGAAAGAAAGAAAGAAAGAAAG